AATTCTATAGAGGAAGTAGTATTCGGAAAAAAAAAAAGACCTGTGGGTTGAAAGTGCATGGTAAATTTTGGCAAGTATAAGTGCCTTGATATGGTTGGAGCAATGGGCCACACTAAGGAGTTTAGAATTTTTGTATGTAGGAGATGATGACTCAGTGAAGCATAAGAAAAACTCAGTCAGATTTTTATGGATGTCAGCAAGATGGCAGAATACAAGTTTTCATCTTCCCACAGAAACACTACTTTTGATAACCACCTATCAATAAGAATACCTTTGTGGGGACCCAGAAGTCTAGCAGAGAGGTCTCAGCATGTTGTTGGAGCAAAAAAATCTGAGAAAAGACATATTTAAGAGAGTAATAAGAACAGTTTCACCTTGCTAATGGCACCCCCTCCCAACGTAGCAAAGCTTGGTGCTAAGATAAACCACCTCAGCGCACAGTTTCTTCCATGGGGGGGATGTAAGAACATAGTGAATGCCCAGCTTGTCCAGCCATGTGAAGAGGCCCACTACTTTTGTAACCCAGTGAGGCCACTGATAGGATCAGCATGGCTGAACACTTTGGAGACAGCTAGTTGCAGGGAAAAGGAGGAGGACTCACAGCAACAAGGGGATTAAACTCAACACAGAGCCACCAATAAGCTCCAAGAGACTTTTAAATGTCATAGGATACATCATCTGTCCACATTCCCAACTGGCCCATGCATGTCCTCCACATTTCATGTGCCTTTTTTCCCATAGCTGGTGTCCCACATGTGACCCCAATATGGTACACATGAGCCTCTTTACATCATTCATGTGCATACTACATGGAGAAGCAGCCTGAATCTACTACCTAGGGAAAAGATGCTTTATATTGAACACATCAGGGCACTGCCCTAGCGAAAACAAATAAGAGGATGTCATCACCAGAGTGGTTGTATGGATTTAGGAGAAGACATACAACTTTAAGACATCCCACACCAAGAAAGAACAAGAGGAATGAAGTGGTTGCATTCATAGAAAAGGCCTGAGAGACCTACAGAATCCCTAGCCAGAGTGACTGGTGAAGGTCTCTCTCACTCTCTCTTCCAAAGCCAGCCAGTAAAGTCTAGAATATAATGGCTTCTTGAAATGTGAAGGTAGCAATGAAAGAATTTTTAAAAAGTCAGAGAAATATGACACCACCAAAGGAAGACAATAATCTTTAATAACCGACCTCAAAAAATGGTGATCTATAAATTGCCTAACAAATAATTCAAAATAATTGTTAAGGAAGCTCAGTGAGCTACAAGAGAACACAGAGAGACAGCCCAAGAAATTTAGGAAAACAATACATGAGAAAAACAAAAAAGCAACAATTTCAGCAAAAGGATAGAAATTACCAGAAAATAACCAAACAAATTCTGCTGATGATGAATACAATGAATAAACTGAAAAGGGCAATAGTGACTTTCCACAAAAGACTTGATGAACCAGAAGAAAAAATCTGTGCATTCAAAGATGGATTATTTTACATTAACCAGTCAGAGGATAAATGACAAAAATAATGAAAAAGGGGTGAAGAAAATCTATGAAATATATGGGACCCCATCAAGTAACAAAAGAGAGAAAAAGGTTATTTAAAGGAATAATGGCTGAAAATGTCCCAAATTTTGGGAGGAATATGGACATTCAGGTTCATGAAGCCCCAAATCTTAAAACATGAACAATCCAAAGATTATATAGTATAATCAAATAACCAAAAGTAGAAAGCAGTGAGAGAACTTTAAAAACAGCAAGAGGAAACTGACTCTTCACATGTGTATTAGTCCATTTTCATAGTGCTATAAAGATATAAACAAGATTGGGTAATTTATAAAGCAAAAAAAGGTAAATGGACTCACAGTTCCACATGGCTGTAGAGGCCTCACATTCATGGCAGGAGGTGAAAAAGGAGCAAAGGCACATCTTAGCGTGTGTGCATGGGATCTGCCTTTTTTTCTTTTTCCTTTTTTTCTTTTTTTTTTTTTTTTGAGACGGAGTCTCACTCTGTACCAGGCTGGAGTGTGGTGGCATGATCTCAGCTCACTGAAACCTCTGCCTCCCAGGATCAAGTGATTTTCCTGCCTCAGCCTCCTGAGTAGCTGGGATTACAGGCACATGCCACCACACCCAGCTAATTTTTGTATTTTTAGTAGAGACAGGGTTTCACCATGTTGGACATGATGGTCATGATCTCCTGACCTCATGATCCTCCCACCTCAGCCTCCCAAAGTGCTGAGATTACAGGTGTGAGCCACTGCACCTGACCGGAACTGCCCTTTATAAAGATTTATTCACTATCAAGAGAACAACACAGGAAAACCTGCCCCCAAGATTCAGTTACCTCCCACCAGGTTTCTCCCATAACGTGTGAGGATTATGGGAACTACAATTCAAGATGAGATTTGGGTGAGAACACAGCAAAACCATATCAACATGCAAGGGAGGTCTCATAAGGCTACCAGTATATTTCTCAGCAGAAACCTTTGCAGATGAGGAGAGAGTAGGGTGATCAATTTAAAGTGCCGAAAGAGCAAAAACTTTCAACCAAGACTACTACACATAGCAAAAATTTCAGAAATCAAGAGTTAAAGACTTCCCCATCCCCAAGAAAACTGAGAATGTCATCACCACTAGGCCTACATTACAAGAAATACTGAGGAATGTTCTTCAAGTTGAAACACAAAGATGCTAATCAGTAACATGAAAACATGTCAAAATATAAAACTCACTGATAAAGGTAAGCACATAGTCAAATGCAGAACACTCTAATACTGTAATGGTGGTGTATATATCACTTTTAACTCTAGTATGAATGTTAAGAGACAAAGATATAAAAATAAGTATAGTTTCTTTTTTTTTTTCCAGAAATGGTGTTCCATTTATTCACTGAAAAAGAGGGAGATTAGGCCTTCTTCATTCATTTTTCTCCAATCTCGCCAATCTCTCTCCCTTCATTTTTTTCCAAAATAACAACACACTGAGAAACATGTTTGTACAAAAATCGCATATTATTCCCCCCCTCACAAATTCAGGTGGCTGGATTACAGGAATAAAACCAGATCAAATATATGAAAAGAAACAGTCACCACTTATACTGAAACATAACAGTGTTAAGAATTCAGGTATTTTGTAGAATTATTACTATAGTAAAAATATTTCCACCTGGATCTTTTAAATTTGAAACTGATCACATTAAAGACCTGAGGTTAAAGGGGACCACAGTACAAACCAGAATTCTATTTTCCTTCTAGGACTCCAGGGGAACAGGTAAGTATTTGGAATGAGTTTCCTTTCGGAAAGACTGATGGGAAGTAGGGAAAACTCTGGCCCATTGTCAAAAGGCACTGGGGTCTTTCTGGAGCCAAATGCATTGGAACTAACCTCCAGTTAGGAATAAACTCATTCCCATTTCCACTCTCAAGAGTCCAGAACAAAAACAAAAGGACCAAGGTCTCCTCGGCTCCAGTTAAAGGCAAACCTGAGGGTTTGAAAGGCAAATCTCAATTGTGGTTTTATTTATTTATTTATTGCTTTCTGATATTAAAGAAAGAAGTTCTAACGTGTTTTATAGACACCTCTGTATACCCTCTCATATGTAAAACTTTATAAAATATATAGAAAAAGATATTCAAAGATGTCTACCTTGCATTCTGAATAATGAAACTGCCACTTGAGAATGTGAAGTGAAAAAGTCAGGTGCTTTGGAAACCAAGCTCTACCAAAAACACCCTTTTCCCACACATGGAAGGATAGAAGGTAGGGAAAGACAAGAGGAGAAAACCAGGAACTCTCAAGTCACTTGTCAGCAGGCAGGGGTAAATATGAGCTCAAATTAAGGCATTTTTGTTGCTTATCCTCTGGAATGGCATTTTACTCTCCCAGGCTGAGCACTCCAGACCTCAAAGCATGATGCTCTGACTGCCTAGTGAGTACCTTGTTACACCGGCATCTCTTTGAGAACCCTGTGGTAGACGGAATGTGAGATTCCAGAAAGGAAGGGAGAAGGTATAAGAAGCTGATATCCTGCTTCACTTTTCTCATCCCATCCTAACCTTAAAAGTACCAGTTTGCGAAATTCCACTCCCTGGCTACTGTAACAAGAGGTAGTTTGGGGACTTGTACCCCAGCCATCCTAACCAAGTGTCATGAGCTAAAACATTTAGCACTAACTCCTTTTTTTTTCTTTTACAGGGTTTTTTAAAGAGGGAGAAAAAAATGTAACCAAATCAGTGAATAGTAGGCTAGACTCATTGAGGGGCCATTACCCTAGATTCCTAATTTTCCAGGCTAGCTGAGGAAACTAAGGAATGTCTCCCAATTTTCCAAACCTCAAAGCTCATGTTGCTCTCAGAAAAACAAAACACTCACCCCGAATCCAACAAATCATCTGCATAATAAACCAGAGCCAGCGAGTCTGGGGAAGGAGCAGATGCTTGTACTCTCCTCTAGCAAATACTAGGTCAGTGGTATGTTCTGCCACATAGTGTGGAGGCCCTCAGAGGCCTCACTAGGGAATAAACTCACTGAGGTACTTGTTCCATATTTCTTTTAATTTTCATGCATTTGTGTGTGGCAAAAGTCTCAAACTTCACCATCAGCACCATTCTTAGCTCAGAAAAGCTGAAATAAGGTCACTTATAATGCCTTAAGTTTTGTCCCCTGTGGCTATCCCCCTTCTGCCCATCACTATTTTTTGATTCCTATTAACTTAGGATGCTCTCCTTTAAAACAATAATAACAGAATGATAAAAACATGATTATACAGTATTATCCACAGAAGCTTAAGACAAAGCAAAAAACTGAAAGACCAAAAATGATAAAGACATAGCATGCTAAAAATGACAGGACCTGCAGAGAAACTGTCAGCATACCCCCACACCAGGACAGGGGAGATGCAGATTATTTTAAGGATGACCAGGGCACACTGTTACCACAGGTTTCCCCTTAAGTGTTGACTGAGGACCCAACACAAAATGTGTCAAAGAGAGGGGTGATAAGAGGAATGGGGAGTCACAGGACACGTGCTTGGAGCTGTGAGAACAAAAACCCTGAAAGAAACCTAAGAAAGTTAAGGAACACAAATCTTGTCATCCCCACTCCAGCTCATAGTGGTGGGTGTGGACGTTCCCTGCATCTTCCAGGCTAAGGAGCATCTGAGGCTGGCAGGCCTGGAACAGGAGGTGGAGGGACCCCATCTGCAGGTGGTGGTGTTGGTGGCTGCTGCTGTGGTGGAGGGGGATACATACTGTTAGGTGCTGTCAGTGGTACCTGGGGTCCTAAGTTGTTTCCTGTCATTTGAGGCATTCTAGGAGGGATGGGGCCACTCCCAGAGGGCTGGACGTTAGCTGCAACTGGGAATCATTCGGCCTGCCATGTGCTGTCTAGGCATCATGGAACCTGGGCATGGTATCTGACCCGGCTGGGGTGGATGACGTGGTGGCATCTGGTGGTGCATTAGAGGGTAGGGAGGGAGCTGTTGATAAGGCATCATGCCAGGGTGCCCTGCTGCTCCAAGTGGGGCCAGGCCAGGTCCTCCTGATTGCTGGTGTGCCTGTTGAGGTTTCTGGCCATGCTGCTGCTGTTCCATTTGCTGTCGTGCTCATAATTCAGCATACTTCAACTGTTCCATGTGGAAGTTTTGGCGTTCAGTAAGCAACTACTGCCTCTGTTGTTCTAGAGTTTCTTTCTCCCTGTCCATGATAGTTTCCAGCTCTTCAAAATGTCAAAGTTTGATCTCTAGTTTCTTCATTTGTGTCTCAACCAGGAGAGCTACCAGGGACTTGATGTTTCTTTCTTCCACTGCAGCCAAGTGCTTGCCTTTGATAGCAGCTGAGGCAAGAGCAGCTGCTGCGGCTGTGGCAACATTTCCTTCAACAATTTCATGTTCTACTTTCCTCTTCCCAATATCATTTTCTCTTTGTTTACATTTATCAGTGAATTCTTTGTTCTCTTCAGTCTCCTTTTCTTCTGATTTTGTATTCTCACTCCACTATCCTGTTCCTTTTCACCATTTTTTTTCATTTACTCCATCTTGTGCTTTATCACCTTCATCTGTTTCATTTTCCACTTTGTTTTCTGACTTTTCAGGATACTGACCATCAGAATCAGCTTCCATTTTTTCCTCTTCAGCTCCTTCAAGCTTCTCTGGCTTATCAGGCCCTGGGACTGCAATGCAGCTGCTCTCCAGGCCGTACGTGGGATCCACTTTTCCAGAGACTCATGCTGCTTTCTTGTACTTCTTGACATGAGCTTCAACCAATTCCAGTGGTACCTCATCCTGGACCTAAGAAAATTCCTCCAAAGCCACTTTTGTTGCAGCAGATGCCATGCAAGTGTCCACCACAGATGCCAAAAAAGCAACAGTACTCATGACTGGATTTCCTGACTGACTAAATGGGATGGACTGGTAGGCCAAAGGCCCCAGGGAAGCATCTGAATTCTCAAGGTATGGGTCCTCAATGGGAAGTCTCAAAAAGTGGAGGATACATTCATCCTGAATGTGACTTACAACATGTTCTGACACTTTGTTCCAATCATCCTTGTACATGTCCAGGGCCTCCAGAAGTAGAAAGGCCTTCTGTTCAGTCTATTCTCTTCCAGCACTAGCACCTTTACTCTTGACTAATGTTTTCTTGGAGTAGATGTCAGTACGAAGACCAAAGTTCTGCAAATCAATTGGTTTTTCCTTGCTTTTCTCAGGAAAATTTAGCATCTGTTGAGCATCAGGGACCTGAAGTGATCGAAGATGCAGAGGCACAAGCCCAGAGGAGTATCAGCTAATACATTAAAATGAGGACTAGGAGGCAGTTCCATTACTATGGGTCTACTTTCTGGGTCAACTTGGTAATTAACAAGTTCCCACTTCTCTAAAAGGGCATAGACCCTCATTACAGCACATACATCTCCAGTCAGGTTCCTCTGACAAGCAGTGCTGGTTAAGTACTCTTGGGTGTTTAGGCGATACATGTCAATCATAAAGTTTTGATATACCAAGTATATTTCTGGAGTCTTGGATTTGTTTTTTCCATTGAAGAACTCAGGAAGAGCATGCTGTTCACTCACGTGAATACAGTTATAATCAAACCATGATGCATAACTAGGAATAATAATGTGATTTGTCTGCTCTATCACATTATCTTCACCAGGGTCAACTGACTGACTCTGATCACCTTTGGCAGGATCTTCATCTTCCTTTCCTCCTGCTGTGATTGTTTCTTCATTCTGCTCATCTAGATCTGCTACAGTTCTTCCTTTAACAGGTATATTTTCACTATCTTTCTTTAGGTTCACATTTCTGGGAAGTACTACTTCTTCTATGTTGGGTATGGGTGTTGGGTCTTCCATATCCTTGGTTAGATCTTCTTGTTCATCTTCCTCTTTCTGACTTCTATGCTTCCCATAAAGGCTGGCTTGGCCTTTCTTTCCACTCTTCTTCCGTGATTCTGTTGATGTGGGAGGGGGAGGCGAAGGCGAATGTTTCCTCTTTCGAGCATTAGCTGATGCTTTTCTATCTCTTCTTTCTGGACTTCTGACTGGCTCTTCATTCTTTCTTGAAATCCGCTGATGAAAACTCACAGGCTTCCTATTTTCATCCACTCATAATCCTCCTCAATCATCCATTCATTGAAAATATCAGTGTCCAAGATCCATTTTACATGAAGCTTCCATGGCTTTTCTGCAATTGGTGGATCTTCAATTTTGGCATCAACATCATTACTATGGACCCAAGTATCATAGCTGTCTGGGTAAAAGCCCCAATGCACTAACACTTGCTTGTCTTTTCTCGTCACCAGTCTCAACCATTCTTCATCCTCTTATGAGGAAGAATATGAATAAACGTGGTGGGAAGCTTTTGACTTCTCATCAGTAAATGTTCCCTGATGTTGTTTGATAATGTCTTTCAATTTGTTAGCCAACTTTAGATCAATGTCTAGAATGAGGTAGATGTTGGATCTGGTCAAACAATTGTTCTGCACCAAAGTTTTTTCAATATTCATAAACATTTCCATATTACGATCCATTTGGGATGGGTTCTGTAGGTCAAACCTCCACCATCCCTGTTCATTTTTATACTTGTAAGCAGCACCAAGAATGTGACACAAGGTTCCTCCAGCTTTGAAATCCATGAAACATTTTGCAGGGAGTTTGGTGAAGGCCGGGTTGGTGACGTGCTTCCCAAAGACATCTTCCTGGAACTGAAGAAGCTGTATTACTAGCACAGCCAGTGTTTTATTTGTAGGAGCATCCGCATGAACGTACTTCTTGTAGTGCTTGCCCAGCCATACCCACACCGAATCCAGCTGGGACACCATCTCTGGGCTCTCCCAAAACTTGGTGGCCAGGCCTGGTCCTTCCACTGATAAACGGCCAGGCCTGCAGCTGCCACAGTGGCCCTGAGCCTGTGACACCTACTGCTGCACCCTGGCTGCTGCCACCGCCCACTGCTGCAGCCATTGTCGTGGCTCATTGTCCCTACTGCCTGGCCCACCCCATCCCTCATGGTGCTTCCCGTTCGCTCCCACCAAAATAAGTATAGTTTCATTAATTTGTTAATAGATATCAATAAAAAAAGATGTAAATTGAGATAACAATAACAAAATGAGAGGGGAGGGGAGAGCAAAAACATAGCTTTTATATGTAAGTCAAATTTTTATCAGCTTAAAATACAGGATTATAATTATAAGATGTGTTATGTGAGCCTCATGCTAAGCACAAAGAAAAAAAATCCCTAGTAAACAGAACATAAAGGAACCAAAGCATCCCGCTGCAAAAAATTATCAAATCATTTAAAAATACAGCAGGATAGGAAGAAGAAAAAAGAAACTACACATCTGTCAGAAAACAATGAAAAGAAATGGAATAATTCTAATAAGTATTTCCCTGTCAATAATTATTTTAAATGTAAATGCATTAAATTCTCCAAAAAGAAAGACAAAAAGTGGCAGGATGCATAAAAAACAGAATCCAACAATTTGCTACCAACAAGATAAACACTTTAGCTTTAAGCACACAAATAGGCTGAAAGCAAAGGGGCAGAAAAATATTTTATGCAAGTTGTAATGAAAGAGAGCAGGCATGGCTATTCTTACATAAGATGAAATGGACTCAACGTAAAAAAAAAACTGTCACAACAAACAAGGTAATTATACGATGACAAAGGGGTTAATTAATCATGAGGATATAACATTACATATATATGTGTCTAACATCAGAGTACCTAAATATATGAAGCAAATATTAATAGATATGAATGGAGAAATAGAGATCAATGAAAAATAGTAGGGAACTTGAATACCCCATTTTCAACATGAGGCACATCATCCAGGCAGAAAATCAATAAGGAATCATTGAACTTGAAATGCAGGTTAGGCCAAATGGACCTATCAGAGATATACAGAACATCCCAGCAAACAGCAGCAGCAGAATGCACATTCTTCTCAAGGCCATATGGAACATTCTCTAGGATAGATCACATGTTAGGCACCAAAAGTAGGCAACAAATTTAAGAACAACAATTTAAGTAGGCAACAAATTTAAGAACATTGAAATTACTTTAAATATCTTTTCTGACCACAATGATATGAAACAAAATCAATGGTAGGATGAAAATTGGAAAATTCCCATGTATGTGAAAGTAAAACAGTACATCGCTGAACAAACAATGGGTCAAAATAGAAATCAAAGGGACGTCAAAAAATACCTTTAGACAAATAAACAGAGAAATGCAACACATCAAAACATACGAGATGCAGCAAAAGATGTTCTAAGAGCAAAGTTTACAGCAATAGATTCCTAGGTTCAGATAGAGAACAGGCTAAAATAAACAATCTAATCATACACCTAAGGAAACTATTAATAAAAATTTAAAAGAAAATCTAGCAAAAGGAAGAAAATAGTTGAGAATGGAACAGCAATAAATTATGTAGATGCTAGAAAAACACTAGAAAATATCAATAAAACTAAGAATGTTTTTACAACAATAAACAAAATTGGCAAATCTTTACCTAGATTTATCAAGAAAAAAGAAAAGTAAAATTATGATTGAAAGAGTAGAAATTACAATTGACACTGCAGATATACAAAAGATCATAAGAGACTGCTATGACCAATTATATGACCATAAATTGGATAATCTAGAAGAATGGGATAAATTCCTATAAGAATAAAAACTATAGACTAAATGAAGAACTAGAAAATCTGAACAGACCAGGAAAAAGTAAGGGCATGTAATCAGTAATCAGAAAAACCTTCCAACAAGGAAAGCCCAGGACCATATTATTTCACTGGTGAATTCTGGCATACATTTCAAGAAGAGTTAATGCCAATCCGTCTCAACTTTTCCAAAAACTTGAAGGGGTTAAACACTTCCAAATTCATTTTACGAGACCAGCAATCATACCAAAGGGAGACAAGGACACTACGAGTAAATAAAACTATAGGCCAGTGTCTCCAATGAACATAAATGCAAATATTCTCAACAAAATACTCACAAACCAAATATGACAGCAACTTAAAAGAGTGATACATTATGACCATGTAGGATTTATCCTGGCTATGCAAAGATGGTTCAAACTACAAAAATCAATAAATCTGGTTTATGAAACTAGCACAACAAAAAAGAAAAAAATGAATAATCATCTCAATAGGTGTAGGAAAAACATTGGAAAAAATTCTGTATCTTTTCATAATGGAAACTCTCAACAAATTAGGTGTAGAAGGAACGTACCTCAACACAATAAGGGCCACATAACAAAAGCCCATGACTATCATTATGCTTGACGGTGAAAAGTTGAAAGACCTTCCTCTCAGCTCAGGAAAAAGACAAGGATGCCCACTCTCACTGCTTTGATTCAATCTAGTACTAGAAGTCCTAACTAGAGAAACTGGGAAATAAATTGAAATAAAAGACCTCCTCCTCCCTCCCACAAAGAAAAAAAAAGTAAAATTGCCTTTGTTTGCAGATGGCATAATCTTATATATAAAAATGATCCATAAATACTTCAAAAATGCTGTTACAACTAATAAATTCAAGTAAAGTTTCAGGATACAAAATCAGTGTCATAAATGGCAGTGTTTCTATATGCTAACAAAATATTAAAAATGAATTTAACAAAATAATTCAATTTACAATAGCTGTAAAATCCACTTAAGAATAAATTTAACCAAGGAGGTGACAGATCTATAGGCAAAAACTACAGCAAGTTGGCTAAAGTAATTATAAAAGACAGAACTGAAAGTAAAGTTATCTTACGTTCATGGATTGGAAGGATCAACATTGTTACAATGTCCAAACTACCCAAAGCAACCTACAGATCCAGTGCAATCTGTATCAAAATTCCAATGACAGAGGAGAGGAGGCAGAGCAAACTGGCCAGTTAGAAGCCTCCAGCAACTTCCCTCCCCCCACCCCACCCTCCTACACAGGAACACCACATTGAACAACTATCCACCCCCCACCCCGTCACCTTCATGAAAAACAAAAATCAGATGAGCAATTACAGCACCTGCTTTTAACATCACAGTTAGAAATTAATTGGAAAGACAGTTTTAAATGGCTTACACCACCTTTCATCCATTGCCTAGCAATAGCTGTGTGGTGCAAAGAGAGAATCTGTGCACTTGAATGAGGGAGTACAGTGCATTAGAACTTGGTGTTGCCCCATCACAGCAGAAAGCACCCACAGACAGAGTATTTAGACCAGCTCTAGATAGAGGGGAGTGGCCCATCTCAGTGGTTGGAACCTGAGCTCTGGAAAACCCTGCCATCATGGTGCTTTGGGGTCCTAAGTAAACTTGAAAGCCATTCCAGGCCATTAGGACTGCAATTTCTGGGCAAACACTGGTGCTCTGCTAGACTCAAAGCCGATAGATATATGGTTAACATGACCCAGCGAGACACCAACAGGGGTGGCCAAAAGAGGGCTTATGTCATCCCTTGCAAAACCCCAGGCAGCAAGTCTGACAGTTCTTGGAGAAACTTCTTACCTCTGCTTGAGGAAAGGAGAGGAGAAAGTAAAGAGGACTTTGCCTAGCTACTTGGACATCAGCTCAGCTGCAGTAGAATAGTGTACCAGGCAGAGTCCTGAGGCCTCCATTTGGGACTCTAGCTCCTGGATGACACTTCTAGATGTACTCTGGACAAGAGGGGGACCCACTTCCTTGAAGGGAAGAACTCAGTCCTCACAGGACTCACCTGCCAACTACAGAGCTACCAGGCACTAAATAATCGGCAGTGGTACCCAGGCAGTTCTCACTTCAGGCCTTGGGTGAGACTCAGAGCCATGTGGGCTTCAGGTGTGACCCAGCACACTTCCAGCTGTGATAGCTATAGAGAATCTTTCTGCTTAAGGAAAGAAGAGGGAAGTAGAGGTGATGTTCCCTTTCAATGTGGGTACTAGTTCAGCCACAGTGGGGTAGAACATCAAGAGGGCCCCTGGGGTGTCTGCTTCCAGGCCTTGGCTGCTGGATAGCATTTCTGTGCCTGCCCTGGGCCAGAGGGAAGACCATTGCCATGAAGGTAGAGACAGGACTGGGAGCACTCACCACAAGCTTACTGAAGGGGCCTTTGCCTATGAGAGAACACTGTTGGTAGCCAGACAGTAATTACCATGAGAACATGGTGGATGTGGCCATGGAGAGAAACTCCTCTGCTTGAGAAAAGGGGGTGGAAGAGTGGGAAAGACTTGTATTGCAGCTTAGGTGCCAGTGCAGCCACAGTAGAATAGAGTAGCAGGTAGATTCTAAAGGTTCCCTATCCAGGCCCTGACTCCCAGATGGCACCTCTGGACCCACCCAGGTCTTCTGTGAATTCATCAATATGAAGGGAAGGACATAGCCTGGCAGGATTAGGGACCTGCTTGTTGTAGAGCCCCTGGGCCTTCAATGAACACAGGCGGTAGCCAGGCAGTGGTCACTGTGGACCATAAGCGAGATTCAGTGCTGTACTAGCTTTGAATTTGACCCAGCTCAGTCCCAGTAATGATGAGCAGAATCGTTATTGTGTCTCCCCTTCTCCAGTTCTAGGTGGCTCAGAGCAAAGAGGGATGCCTCTTGTGTTTGGGGGAAAGTAAAGGAAGAGAACAAGAGTCTCTGCATGGTACCCAGGGAGTTATCCAATATCTTACCCAAGACCACCAAGGTGGTACTTCTATGAGTCTGCAAGACTCACAGGATTACTAGGCTTGGTCTGCCCTCTAATGCAGATATGGCTACAGTGGCCAAATATTTTGATCACAGCACTCAATTATTTTTGAATACTTGGAAAGCTTTTTTAAGAAAGAGAGGTACAAACAATCCCGGACTGTGATGACTGCAATAAATACCTAACTTTTCAATGCTCAGACATTGATGAACATCCATATGCATCAAGATCTTCCAGGAAAACATGACCTCACCAAATGAACTAATTAAGACACCAGGGACCAACCCCAGAGTGACAACGTTGTTATTTTTCAGACAGAGAATTCAAAATTGCTGTTTTGAGGAGGCTCAACAAAATTCAGAATAACACAGGAAAGGGATATGAAATCCTATCAGGTAAATTTAACAAATAAATTGAAATAATTTTGTAAAAATAAGCAGAAATTCTGGAGATAAAAACTTCAATTGACATACTGAAGAATACATCAGTGTCTCTCAGTGGAAGAATTAACCACACAGAGAAAAAGAATTAGTGAGTTTGAAGATAGACTATTTGAAAACACGCAGTCAAAGAAGACAAAACAAAAAAGAATAAAAAACAATAAAGCATGCCTGTGGGTTCAGAAAATACCCTGAAGGGGGAAAATATAAGTTGTTGGCCTTAAAGAGGAAGGAGGGAGACAGAGAGAGAGCAAGAAAGAGACAAAGACAAAGATAAGGGTAGAAAGTTTATTTAAAGAGATAATAACAGAAAATTATTCAAACCTAGAGAAAAATACCAATATTCAAGTACAAGAGGGTTATAGAACACCAAAGAGATTGAACCCAAAGAAGTCTCCCCAAAGACATTGAATGATCAAACTCCCAAAGGTCAAGGCTAAGAAAATGGTCCTAAATTTAGCAAAAGAAAATGAAAAAATAACATACAATGGAGCTCCAATACTTCTGGCATAAGACTTCTTGGTGGATACCTTACAGGCCAGGAAAGAGTGACATGACGTATGTAAAGTGCTGTAGGAAAGAAATATTTTATCCCAGAATAGTATATGCAGGGAAAATATCCTTCAAACATGGAGGAAATATAAAGACTTTCCCAGACAAATCAAAGCTAAGGGATTTCATCCACACCAGACCTATTCTAAAAGAAATGCTAAATGGAGTTTTCCCATTGGAAAGAAAAGAATGTTCATGAGCAATAAGAAATCATCAGGGGGCACAAAACTCACTCGTAATAATAAAGATATAGACAAACATTATTATAATACTAATTGTGGTGTATAAACTACTGATAACATGAGTAGAAAGATTAAAAGATGAACCCATCAGCAGTAGTAACTACAACTTTTCAAGGCATGGACAGTATAATATGATATACACAGAAATAACAAAAAGATAAAAGGGGGGTGATGAAATTATAGTAGTTTTCATTATTTCTCTCTTTGCTTGTTTGATAGTTTACTTGTTTTTCCAATTACTGTAACTTTGTCATCAATTCAAAATAATGTATATAAGATGTTATTTGCAAGCCTCATGGTAACTNAAAACACCATAGAGAGAAACAGAGTAAGATGGCAAAATGTAAGGATCTATCAATCGTCCTCCATGCAAAGAAACCAACTTAGCAATTATCTACACAAAAAAAGTACCTTCATAAGAACGAAAATTTAGGTAAGCACTCACTAGCTGGTTTTAACTTTATATCACTTCAGTTCTGTGAAGAAGGTCAGTGGTAACTTGATGGGGATAGTGTTGAATCTATAAATT